CTTTGTTGCCAACTTATCTATATGAATACCATAAGCTTCACTTTATCCCACATAGACGCTATAGGAAAATCCCTTTTCAAATTTATTTCTATTTAGTATAATGTTTTGCAGAATCTTTTAGTTTGGGGGTTTTTGTTTTTCTTATTTTTTATTTTGATGTTTTAGTATTTACCTATTTGTTTCCAGATTGGTCTGCCTACAAATAGTATCCCCAGCAGCCATCTACTTGTTGGGACCGTGTTAAGCAAGGGATGACTATAATGTCACCCAGTGGGTTATGAAGTTGAGGTCTCCACAGGGCCTACCTGAGCAACCCTCTTCTGTAAACAGGATTTAGGTTCCATCTCTGTGCTCTAGTACTGATGCTAAGAAAATGTTAACTAAGTTAAACAGTTAAGCTATCAGCTGATGCAATTCATGATTTAAAAGTATAGATTGCTGCTGTACAGCTTTCTCTTTGAGTTGAGGTTACCCAGTTCTGCCCCATAGAATCATACTCATTCCCACTATTCTCCTTATGACTGAGTACTTTTAAATAATAAGGTGGATAGTAATAATAGTTGGCAGTCTCAGTGTGCCAGGCACTCTTCTAGGTGCTTTATATGTATTATTTAATCCTCACAACAACCCTATGAGGTAGGTACTGTTATTTTACCCATTTTATAAATGAGGAGACCAAGGTGTACAGAAGGGTTAACAAACTGGCAGAGTCACTTGTACACCTATGGTATCTACGAATAGTTAGATTTTTCAGTTATTTGTAGCATCTCATTTTTCACATTCCCCAGCTTTGTTGGTTTTCTACTGCTTTAAAGTCTTACTGCTAATTAAATAAATAGCATTTACCAGTCATCTTTTTATTTAAAGGTGCCATACTCTTTAAGTAGGTGAGTCCCACTGAATTGACTGTTTTTTGTTTTGTTTTGAACCTGTATCAGTATGGGGCACCTGGCTGGCTCAGGTGGTGGAGCATGCCACTCTTGATCTTGGGGTCATGAGTTTGAGTCCCATGTTCGGCATAGAGATTACTTCAAAAAAATTAAAAATTAAAACAATTTAAAAAGCTTTATCAGTATGGCAATAAATTCAAAGGATATCATGGAAAAATTTTTAATAAGATGTTTCTTTTTGGATATGTTAAGGTTATATTATCTGTGCTTACAACCATTTAGAAATATTTTTCCTTAGGGGCACCTAGGTGGCTCAGTCCCTTAAGTGTCTGCTTAAGCATCCGAGTCTTGGTTTCAGCTCAGGTCATGATCTCATGGTCCTGGGATCGAGCCCCGCATCAGGGTTCACACTCAGCGCAGAGTCTGCTCAAGATTCTCTCCGCCCCTTCCCCTGCTCGAGCTCTCTCTCTAAAATAAAATAAATCTTTTTTTTTTTTAAAAAGACATATTTTTCCTTAAAAGATTTACATGTAAGGAATTGTTTTCTTCTTCACTTGCTCACCAAGTGATGGCTGCTTTGGGTGTTTTCTTCTCCCTCTCCTCCTCCTCCTCTTTCTTCTTTTTTGGTCATGCTGTTAAAGTTATCTATGAAATTAGATAAGGTTTGGTAAACTAATAGAAATTATTCAGTTTATATAGCTTGACATTGCATAGTCATGAATTTGAACTTAGACTATCACAAAATATAATCAATTTTACTTTTATTAAATCTAGTTTTGCTTACCATTTATGGCCTGGTTGGACTATATATTTACACAATTACAGGCTGTTCTCATTGTCTTAATACCAAAGAAAGTATAGGCTGTCAGGTATTGTTTATATGAAGGAATGTTGATGTACTGTTAATGTAATAGTTTGTTATTATATATTCATTACTTTTCTATGTAAAATTCAAATTTTAGCAAAATCAGTCCACAACAGATTATATACAAGATTAGTTCCATTATCACTATTTTGCAGGTATTATTCTAGTAGATTTTATTTTTAAAGTTTTGTATTTTGAACATATTCATAAATTTGTATCTTTGCATAGTAGTCAGTCCTACTTAAGACGTATCTTTGGGTATGGTATTTTTATATAATTGTTTCTTTATAGCATTCTGCATTATTTTTAAACTTTTGGCTTTTTCAGAAGGTATGTTGTTCAGTGATGGAAGATTAAAACTTTGTAAAGAGAAGTTTGAAGAAGGATGGTTAGTGAAATACTAAGTAGAGAAAGAACGTGGAAAATAGGAAATAGGCAGTTCAGGACAGGAATCTTTGTGATGAGAAGGTTAGGAGAAGATAAATGTAGTTAAGAGCATCTGTGGAATAGATTTGGAAACATTCTGGAATGCCTCTGTGCATTTGTTTATTTCTATATCTCTGTGACCCCACACAATAAATAATTGTTGTCTCTTTGTATTATACATATCTTACAACTGTTTTCTGTTTCCTACTAGACAGTACTTAGTGTTTGACTTCTATAGATTTCTGCTTTAATATATCCGTCCAAATGACTTAGACCCTGCTTGCCTTGTGTCTCAATTTCTATTTTTCTGTCTGAGATTTTGCCTTTGTAGCACATAGCAGAACTTCCACCCCTGCTCACTGTTACCTTGTATCTTTCTATATTCTTCCCCCCCCCCCAACCACCTTAGTTTCTGTATATATATTTTAGTACAGAAACACCTTCCTGTTCAAATGGTGAATCTGTTTTGAGGATAGGAATTTCTGTAGCTAACAATTAATTCTATTCTCATGGTAAGGAAACAGCCTAGCAATATATTCCCCCATCTTTAGTGCCACCTTTCATCCCCTGTAAACAAGTACATTTTTGAAAGTAATGTCAAATTTTAAGATGTATTTTTATATTAAGAATGGTCACAGTAGTAGAATGTATAATGAAGTTACAGTTTTGACTTAATCTGAAGTCATGTGTAAGAAGTTGGAAATGTCACCTTTGTATGGTGTTCACCTTCCTATGCTTGGATAATATTGTTTACATAGAAATTTCCTCTAAAATGGAATTATGTTAGGGTTCAGAGGAAACAAATCCCAAATAACAGGGACCTTACTTAGCTTACTTTAGAGTACGGAGCAAGTGATAACAGATATTGAGAACAAATGAAATAATTTATATAAATGCAAAAATAAAGTATTTTGGTTATTAAATGCATGTAAATAATAAACTTTCTTAGGAACAAACAAAAGGCTTTGATGGTTCATAGTTCATCATCCTTGAGATGAGGTCATTGGGAAAAAGTATTGACTAAATTGATGTTTTTTTTCTTAATCATCACAAATCTATTTTTGAAAAGACCCATAGTTAATAAAAATGTTCTTACCAGTTAAGGCAGTAGTAATATATCTGAAATCTGTCAGTTACTTGGGTTGGCCACAAAGTATACCAAATGTTTTTAGGATGAAAAATGTTAAAATTAATTAGAAGAGCAGCTCTATAGTTAAATTGTTGTGTCTTATCCTAAATGATAGTGATTGGATACCAAAGATTTGGTTATTTTTATTTGGTCTAGGGGTAGGGGTAAATGGCTTCACTTTGTTTTTGATTAGTCAAGAAATTGAAATAAAATGCGACTAATAGGATTCAAAACAAGTATACTTTATCATTCTAGCCTGGAGATAGGGGTAGTGATACTATTAGCATAGTAACAATTGTTCAAAATTTGTCTTCTACAAATGATTAGTTTTTAAGGAAACTCAGTAGTTGTCCTTGTGTAGTCATATAGGCTTGCTTCTCTTTCTCTGTTTTGTCTATATTGCTTAACTTTGGGTAATTCTATTTCATTTACTCAACAGGTTTTTTTTTTTCTTAATCAAGTATTTACTATATATTTGGCATTGTCTTATGCCCAAAGGGCTCTGGAAACTATAAAGATTGGTAGTACAATGGTCGCTACTTCCTAGAATACTTTGCATGATTTCCCTGTTCTTCCCTAAAACATTCCCAGAACGAGATTTTTATCATTTTTGTGTGGTTGTGTATTAATGACAGAATTAAATTTTCATGAAGCCTAGATGTTGAATTTGTTGTTACTAGTGGTTTGTTTTTTTTAATCTGAATCCAGTGAAATCTGGTGCATAGATCTTCTATAAATATTTGTTGTTCATGGTGTTTGAAGTTAATAATCACTGTTGAGTATAAAGTATAAAATTTTCTTTTTATAAAATTTTGTCACAAAATGAATATAATTTAAAATCTTTTGTAAATCCATTTTAGTGATTGCTCATGGTTTATAATTCTGTGCTTTTTGAATTCTAGAGTGTATTACAAGAGCTACATTAAATGTAGGCAAGAAGATAGACACAAAGAAATAAAATAATGTATATAAGGCAGTTTTTTGGGTACTGTAGTTTTTCCTGATATTGCCAGTAGGTTTTGATATCTGGTATTTGACTGTTACATTTTCAATCTCGAGTAGCCCAGTAGTGCTAATTTAGATGCCATGTCTGAATCAGTAAATGTAGAACAAGATTGAATTCTGAAAAATTCCAGTATTTAAACCCACCAATCCAGACATCTCTTTCTTGAACATTACTTATCTTAATAGAGATTTAAAATAAAGGTATTCTTAGCCGGTGATTGTTGAGAAGAAATTCTGAGTATAGAGGAAGGTCATTGAGACAGGTCAGCTAGAGGTGGACACACAGCCTGCCTAATAATTGGATGGATGCTACCTGGCTGGAAGATGGAGCTGATTGGTGGATCAAAATCTCAAAGGGAAACCTTCCGTTTTTAATTTAAATGTTTACTAAATTTATATTCCACAAAGTTCTATTATATTGTATGCTGCCATTTAAATATTAAAAAGTGACATCACCAATGATTATTATTACCCTGCCAAAAGATTGTTGTGATTTTGGGTTTATGAAATATATTTGGTTGAGTGGTACTTAGTGTACTTTTCCTATTACTTTAAAGATTACTTTAAGATTACTTTTCCTATTAACTTCTTAATTATATTCAAAGTTAGAACACAACATGTCTTATAAATAAGTTGTTTCTACTTCTATATGTCTATTTACTGAAGACTGTCTTTATTTCTTCAGGTTTACGTGAGATTAAGACCATTCTTCAGGGAATTCCTGGAACGAATGTCTCAGATGTATGAGGTAAACATGCTTAAGCTAATTACATAAGTATTTTTATTTTATTCAATATAGTACCCATATTTAGATCATGTATAATGATTACTTCTTTTCCCCTGAATTTGTAGATCATTCTTTTTACTGCTTCTAAGAAGGTGTATGCAGACAAGTTACTGAACATACTAGACCCTAAAAAGCAACTGGTCAGGTAAATTTAATTAAGAAATAGTGGAAATGTCTGTCACACTGATCTATGAAATTACTATGAATCTATTTAATTTTGATGGCCATTTTCGGTTGGCTGCATATATAGAGATTGGTTGTGTTGAATGGTGAAATGAATTTTTTTAAGCCCCCAAACTCTTTAAGAGTTCCTAATGATATAACTCCAGACAGACGTTCTTTAAAGGATACAAAAGTCAAATGTATATATTCACTTACGGTTCCATCTGTATCCTCACTTCTTTTGGGACTGGGGGGAGATTGGGGGTATGTGGAATTTTTCACTGTGTGCATGATACTTTCACTTCCTTATGTCTCTGAGATAATGCATGTTATATCACCTTTTTAATGGCATAGAGAAATAAAGGTTAATTTTAACAGAAAGGATAAATTAAACTCTTTTGCTTTTTTCAAGAGCAAATTTGTCCTCCATGGAAAGGCAACATTACATGACTCTAATTGGAAATTGCAGTTGGTTTAGTCACTCAAGTTATCCTGATCTGGACTCAGTTCCTTGTGTGTGTCCTGAGCCAGCAGATGCAGTGTGTTCCTGGTTAGGTGGGAGTGCCTTGGGTAATTTTAAAACAGTTTGAAAATTAGTTCCATTATTTCTGTCAACTGAAGTGAGATATTAAGACTGCTAGCAGTCTTGCTGCATCCTTTAAGATGTCAGAGTTAGTCTTTGATGTTTTTGACCAAGAGCTGTGAGAGATGCCAGAAAAGGCTCATAAAAGCTTTAATAGCTGGGAATTAATTTTCCTGAATACTTTCTTCCATGTTTTTGTAGTAGAAAATCCTAATTTCTACTGTTAATAGGACCTTTGTTATTGAGTGGTTGCAACTATGCTAAAAGACTTTTTTCTTATGTCCACACTTAGGAGATTTTCTTTCTTGTAAAATAGAACTGTGATTTTTTTTTTTAATCTAAAGGATCAAAATTTGTCCTTGTTGTCACTTTCCATTTTATCTTCCATATAAGCAAGCATCAGATACAAAAATGAAAATGGTGTTTTCTATTCATGAAAGTATAATACTTGCTCATTTTACCTAACTTTAACAAAAGTACACAAATGATTTTGCTTTGATGACTTCATTCATTCTGAAGATTTCTATTCAGCACCTCCAATGTTCCATGGAACAGTGGTGAGCAATACAAGCCTTTCCCTCTTAGAGCTTTCATTTTACTGGGGGGCAAGTCATAGTCATGGAATTACAATGTTACAGATTAACACCCCTCTTTTAAACTAGTTCTATAAAATCTACATATTTGGGAGTTTAAATTTGTTTTATGTAGTTGTATTTGAGTCATTTAAAACAGGAAGAACTTTTTAAACAGTATACTGAATTCATTAGAGTGCTTAAGGGAATTATGTTGAAGGCAAGGTATACTCCAAAATCCCTATGATCTCTGAATCTCACAAGTCCAAATACAAATCTGATGACTGGCAGAAGTAGTTTCTTTCTAAAACTGCAAATACCTGCTACTGACCCTCAGATCCTGAATAACTGGAGGGGTTTTAGTGTAATTTAATTGAAGTAATCATTAGTATCCACATACATACTTATTGGTCTCCTGTCTTGGGTGAGTTTGCTGCTATTAGGGAAGAAACATTAGTAACTTGCATTATGTGCTGCACCTGCCTCTCTAGTTTCCTCATATGTAATGTAAATGTTTATATAAATAAAAATGGAATCTTTTATAGGCCCAACCAGGACTTAAATTCTTTTGTCTGGTCTTAACCTTTTCAAAGTAAGATGGTCTTTAAGCCATACAGAGGTAGATATCATTTAATGAAAAGTATTCTTTATAAAACGGGAGGAAGACAACTATTTTTACTACATTTTGTCTGGTTGGAAAACTCTGTCATCACCACTGGCACTGGTGTTTTTAAGGTTGAGTTTTTTTGTTTTTAGAGCTATGGCAGATTTTGTTGGTAGAAAATGCCCCTTTCTTGAAATTCCATAATTAAAAATAAAGGTATGAGTAGGCCCTAGCTGTTGAAAAATTGTTTAGTGGGATTAAGACACAAGGAAGCCAAACTACCAAATTATTAATGTATGCGAATGGAGCATTTCAAGGTGATCTGTATTAATTATTAGTATTCGGAGACTAACATTTTGAGTGCTAAATGAGATGATATAATTATGACAGTATATAAGTATTATTATAAAGCCTTTAATAGTTTTAAATGATAACAGCATTTTTCAGTTGAGTATCATTGGTGAAACATTAGTTTACATTTGTAATACTTAAATCAGAATTCATCATTTCATTCAATCCTTGTTTTTTCAAATGATCATATATACACTCACACTAAAATAAAAGAAAGATGGGTGTTTGGGAAAAGTTGAAATGATGGAATGTTTTGGCCTCCACACCTTTTCTCAAAAACTATAAGGGAAACTAAAAACATTTTTAAAAATGCCAACACAGAAACATTCCTTCTTATATTTTCTATTCTGGCATGTACAGGGATAGGGAGGCTGTGTGGTCTTCTGGTTAGAGCAAAGAACTGGGAGCCAGGAGGATCCTGGGTTCCAATGCGGGGCTAACCACTGACTTACTGTGTGACCTTGGGCAAGTCACTTGACCTCCTTGTGCCTCAGTCAACCATCTGGAAAATTGGTTAAAAAGCAGGACCTCGCTGACAACCAGATGCTGCATCTGAACTGAGCTTTCCTGGGTAAATAAATTACAAAAACAATTTACAGAGTTTTTAATCCCTCTTTATAATTTAATAATAACATTTTGGGATAAGCCGAAGTTCTTAAAGGCATGGTAATATTTGGTTGTAAGGTTTCAATAATTGCTAACATTTTTAAAAGTAAAACTGTAGCCCAAAGCTTAGGCTCACATTTATAATTGAATTTCCTTTGTGAGAGAAAATAATAAGGCTTAAATTGTAAAGCCTATGGTATGTGTATATGTTTCAGAAATGTTGTAATTTTTAGAGATTTTTTTTTTAGTTAATTTGTTTTTATTTTTATGTTTAGGCATCGGCTTTTCCGTGAACATTGTGTTTGTGTACAAGGAAACTATATAAAGGACTTAAATATCCTTGGAAGAGATCTTTCAAAGACTATAATAATTGACAACTCACCACAAGCCTTTGCATATCAGGTAGGAAGGGAGGGTTGCTAAACAAATTCAGATTGGGGAAAAAATATATATAATGAGAACAAATGCTGCCAAACAGAATATGATGGGAGAACAGAATTTTCACTGATGAAATTTCCCTGTTTAGTGTTATCTTTTAGAATTAGAAATGCCAAATTGCTATATTCCTTGTGGAAAATTTTCTTTTAAATGAATTAAAACACAGATAAAAATCTGGTTAGTAAGTCTGAATAAGAAGGAACTATAAAATATACATCAGTTAATGGTATTCTTAGCAGTTGTTAAGTAATTGTAAACATGTTTGAGAATTATAAATAGCTTAACCATGTTCTGGTATGTTTGCTTTGACATTCTGAAATAACTTCTTAGACTAATTTGTCAATATATTTATACCCTGTGTCAGTATTTCTTTGAAATATAACTTGGGGGCGCCTAGGTGGCTCAGTTGGTTAAGCATCTGCCTTAGGCTCAGGGTCCTGGGATCGGGCCCCGCGTCCAGCTCCCTGCTCTGCAGGGAGCCTGCTTCTCCCTCTCCCTCAGCCTGCTGCTCCCCATGCTTGTGCTCTGTCTCTCTCTCTAATAAAGTCTTAAAAAAAGGGGGGAGCCTTTAAAAGAAATATAAGTTGGACTAGAAATGAGGCATCCTTGCAAGATCTGTTTTACATTATGAATATGTTCATGTGATAGTTCTGAGATTTCCTTCACAATAAATCTGTGCAGAATAGGGATGGTGGGAATTGGGTTGGATGTAGGTAGAACAAGTAAAAAAGTAAAAAGATGAAAAAGGAGAAAAGGGGAAAACTGCATATGATATTGAAATATGTTTAATTTAGGTCATTGCTCACATTTTGAAATGTGTTTTTAAGAATTTCATATTGGTTCCTGGATAAAATCATTTCACTTGTCCTCTATCTTAAACACAGTATTCTGCATTAATGTTAAAGACAACCTAGAGATTATTTACTATAAAACAAATATGGTTTGCATTCTTGTTTCTAGACTCCTCTTCAGTGAAATATCACTGAATCTGTTTGTTACATTAACGCTGTTTGAGGTTATCCTGCTATTTGTTGGGAATAAAACAATGAAATGTGACACGGTCCGTGTGTAAAAGTATAGGCTTTCTGGTAGTGTTCTCCTTACATTGGCAGTACCCCTTCATTCATGGTACCTTGCATTGACTGATAGTAGCCATTTCTTGAATCAGTCCAGTAATATTTTGTTATGTTAATGCAAAACTTGTTTCAATGGATCTTTCTTGTTTAGTTTCATATACTACACTAGGAAGACATTATGCAGAAAAACCAATTAGGCTTTGATGTATTCTTTAACATCTGTCTCTTGCACTGTGGAGTTGTTAAATATAACAAGCAATAACTTTGATGGCATTCCTTTTCAGAGGAACTTATATAGATCAGTATTTCTTAAGTATCTGTTATTTCTCTTTCAAGGTTTTACAAACTAGGCAAAATGTAAATTAAAAGAGGATTTAATTATTTATCGTTTTAGCTATCTAATGGAATCCCTATAGAAAGCTGGTTTATGGATAAAAATGACAATGAACTCCTAAAATTGATTCCATTTCTGGAGAAGCTTGTAGAACTGGTAAGTATCTTAATTTTAATTTTCTTTCTCTATTTTGCTTTTGTTGCCTCAACTGTATTGAAATAAACCTTTTTAATTGCTTTATGTGTACTGACATTTTAAGTCAACTTGGTGTCAAATTAGGGCAAAAGTTGGAAAGGATTACAAGCATTTTCTAACCTTGTAAATTATATTAAAATCATGCTTATCAGTATTTAAAAATTTGTAGACTGGGTGTTTTTATTTTATTGTGCTGCTTCTTGCAAGTCACTAACTAGTAGTATTAAATTGATTTCACTTTGCTTTCATTGTTGAGGTCTAGAATTCATGCTTATGCTACTAAAACTTTATTCCGGGGTTATTTTTTCCTAATATATAAAGTAGAGTTCAGTGGCTTAACACTTTTACCTGTCTTTTGGTTTTGCCTCTTTAGTGCATAATCATTCTTTACAGAATTAAAACTTGAATGACAGTTCTTTTTTAAAATCTAAATTTAATTCTTAGTTAACTGCTTCTATAGTATCTTTATGTTTGGCAAACAAAATAATATAAGTTGTAAAATAAATAGTAGTATATTTTCTCTGCAAAGGAAAAATGTTCACAATGTTATGAGGGTCATATTTTTGAAATTACATGGCTTTTAAAATGTCTTTTTCTCCACACAGAATGAAGATGTTCGACCTCACATCAGAGACAGATTTCGCTTGCATGATTTGCTGCCCCCAGATTAAGTACAAAGACTTGTCAAATCACTGAAGGGGGAGAGAATGCAGGACCCTTTTGGACTAAGACAAAAACATTGCCATTACTGTTGAAATTTTGCATTTTTGTACCCCGTCTTGCTTTTCTTATCTTTGGTGCCCAATAATAATCAAGGGTTACAGAAAGAGACTTTATCTCAGATTGAATACACACAGTAGGTAGGCTAAAACAGAAGAGTCTTTAGAACTAGTGCAACTCCAGTGAAATTTTTTTATGTACAGGACATCTGCAGTTTATAAAGAATTCTGTTTCTGCCACCAGCAGTTTGACCTGTAGTCACACAGGATTTTATGATAATAACAGAGATGAAAATGGACTTTTATTTTCTCTCTGTTTGGTGCTCTAAGTGGGTTTGTAGCCACTTTTCTGTTACTTTAAGATTCTCATTTCAACAGGAATGGCCAGTAAAAGTTGTTTTATTTTTCCTGTTAAGGTTTATAACCTTTTTACATTTTTGACCTGTATTAGATTAGATTTTCATTATGCATTCCTTTTAGTTGAGGCGCTTCATAGTTTTCTGGAAATAGTCAATTTTTAGTTTTTTATTATACATTTGAATGGCCGTTTTCCTGCTTTGTCTGCCTGCATATTGTATATTTGTTTAAAAATATTCTCTACTTTTAGTCCATGTAAGTTTCATTTAGAAAGACATGCATTTATATTTTGTTTCTGTAATATTCTACTGTAGGTGAAATCTTTTAAAAAAAAATCAAAGGACTGGGTAGATAAGAATATATGAATGACTAATATTCAAAAGATTTAAACCATTGTGATGGCATGTGTTCCCAAATGGTAATATCTTGCAATGGCACACAGATTTAATGGATAAAGGTATACCTCAGACTTCACTGTGCTCACCAATCTTTGAGGAGAATGAGTTTGGTCACCTGTTGGGCTTGATGTGGTTACTGCTGCCTTTGGTTTTCTCCAGGAATGAAGTATTCAGCACAGTGACTCAGTATTTTTAGTTATTTTGCATGGGCTGGTAGTACCTCTGTTATGCTCTTGGTTACAATCAATTTAAAACTCTGTGTAACAGTCTTGGTACCTTACAGTAGCTATGCATAATCCTGTGGCACAGTAAACTCCCAAGCCACCAATGCAGTTAATATGCTCTCATAGTGGTTTTCTATGCTATATGAAAATAGTCTTCAAGCCTTGGTTCTCTAATGCAGCTACCACAAGAGGTTGATATTTTTATAGTGGTGTGTAATCTCCTTTTCGGGAGGCTTTTTATGGAAGGTAGAATTTGTAAAAGTTAGTATGCTTTGCCTCTCAACTGCATTAACATGCCACAGGCTCAGACTGTTTTTGTGTAAAGGATGTCAAAGAACGGCACTTTTTCTAAAGAGAAGTTTGATATTTTGTATGCTTGTTAAGAAAGTACAGTATTGGAAATTAAAGGTGGACAACTGATAATTGAGGAGTATGTCACTTAATTTTTTATGTATATTACCTGTTTACTTGTACAACTTATTGTACAAATTACATGCAGCTTCATTTTCAAATGAATCCTTAAAATAAGGAAATCTTTTTAGGAAAACATTTAATTTTTGTATTTTTGATTTTAAAGGCATGAGTTATGTCAATTTTCAGTGTATTAATGAAGATTTTAACTTTTCATCAGGTTGAGTGTTTTCTTACTATATTATCTGTTGTGTATGTAGTTAGCATATTGTGTCACTGAACTGTTTAAAAAATCTAGCATGTAGAGCAAGCCTGTTTTGTGGAAAATCCTTATTCATTAAAAAAATAATCATGGCAGATTTTCTGCAAAAAAAAAAAAAACAAAACATTTGCAATTCAGAATACTGGTTTTTTTTTTTTATTTGTTTGTTTGTTTTGGTTGTTTTTGTTTTAATTTAAAGAAAGGTATTTTGCTTGCAGGAAAAAATACTCCAGATTCATTTTAATGAGAATCTTTGAAATGTATTTATCTTTAGGGCATCTGGGCATCTTTATGCTGTTTGTCTTGTCTTTCTTGAAATAAAATGTACATACGTTACCTTTACATATGCTCTTGTTCAAAATTGTGAACCCAGTTACATTTCTCTTTGCTCCCCTTTTATGCTCAAACAGTAAAACCCAAAACCTATACAAGATCTAAGCTTTCAGCATGCATTATAATTGCTGAAAGCTTTTCTGATAGTAAACACAGTCTGAAAGGGCTTTCCCATAACTGAAAGGGAATTGTAAGCACCTGTACTGTTGTGCCTATGGGCACTTTAAAATAAATACCAACTTTTAATCCTCTTATTAATGGTAAAGCTGTTCTCAGTCCCATGCTAGGAGAGTTCTTTAAGTCAACTGACAAAGGAATCTAGCATAACAAGATTCTGTAAAGGAATAAAGAGAAATTTTATATGGCCTGAGAAAATTTCTTGAGACCAATTTATTTTTCTTCATTACTCAATTTGAGTCATTTTAAATTTGTTGTTAATACAAAATTTAAAATAATTTGTGAAGAGACAGTTACTCAGTTTCCTTCCACTTTAATATGTTTTACCTTCTCATTACCCCTTCTTTTCTTTAGCTCTTGGTAAATGTTCTCTTAAACACTTCCATTTAGTTAAGTGGAGGTGCCTATTTTGTGAATTGAGATGTGCCCAGCCGCTTCAATTCAGGCAGGAAACATGAACTCTTTAAAAACTGACTGTAGGAAATGCAGGAGAGATGGATACCTGATAAGACACAGCAAAAGTGACCTATTTACACATTACATATCTGAAGTACATATTATAATTGTGATATTTCCAGTGATAAATGTCTGGCTTTTGAGACATTCTTTTAAATATTTGTATTGTTAGGATGTTTAAATCAGTTGTGTTTTTTAATTCTATGTAAAAATGTAGCCCTAATCAGATTTATATCACCATATTTCTCTTTGAGTCTTAAAAGAGTTGATAACGATTTGAAACCATAATTGTTTTATATTAGCTAGTATGTATATTTATTTACCCGATGGCTTTATCTTGTTTCCCAAAATTGGGGGGGGGGTGTTGAAAGCATTGTAACTTCTATAAATGGCTATTTTCTTGTACCTGTCAGTGAAATGGATGTGTACATTGTTTTTTTATATTTCTCTGGTTTTTCTGGTTTGTTTGGTTGTTGTTATTGTTGTTTTGTTTTTGTTTTTTGTTTTTAGTGTTAAACATAGAATGGTTTAAAAAAAAAGTTATCTTTGGCCAATGACTTTTTCAGCTAGATACTACTTTCATTCAACCTTCTAAAGAAGTTCGTTTTCATTGTTTTGTTCAGTCAACTTGCCTGAAAAACAGAGAGACTTCATCTCATCAGTGAAGAAAGCATTTCATTATTCCTACAGATCTTTACAGCGAGCACAGAATACTTCATAAGGACCAGATCTCTTCCACATCTTGTGTCAAACACATAAAGCTGAAATGTAAAGGACACTGAAGCCTTCATTTAATTGTACTAACATGATGGTGTTATATACCACATCCGTAGCTAGTTAAAGTTTTCTGAACTGACTTCTCTTTGTCTTCCTAGGTATTTATTTGTTATCTCTTTTAATCTTGTGTATCTAAATTAACTTAGTTAATAGTTACCCACTGAATTACTATGCCAAGCAACTAGGAAAGAATGTTTATTTTATTTCCCCTTATAGGGGAAGAGTGGACTGGGAACAAAAATGTATGGGCCAAAAGGCCTTAGGTTGTCATTCATTCACTTTCTTATTCCTCTCATGAGCTATATTTGAGTATAGTATTTTTTCAGTGCTAATATGCTTGATTATGTCATTACTTTTCATATCTTCCCAAGGTGAAAACCTGCTAGGAACCTGCATAAAACACATCTTAAAATTTCAGATTAAGAACCACAAAACTCAGTATCTTATATTTAAATGCCACTTAAATTATTATTGGAATCCAAGTCTCACTCACTAGGATACATTTTTATAAAATGTTTCTCTGTATCTTGAATTGAAAGTACTTGCCCAGAGGCAAGAGTTCTGGGGATATAATGTTTTGAGAAATTTTTAAAAGGGGATAAGAGAGCAGCAAGTTTATATTTAGTTACTTTTTGGTTTTGATATTAGTATTTTAAAATACATCAGCGGTTCCCAATCCTCAGCATTAGAATTACTCTGAAGAGCTTATGAAATACAGATTCCTGAGGCCTAGCCCCTACAGAATTGTCTCAATGGATCTAGAGTGGGGCCTGAGAGTTCTGTGTTTTTTAAAAAGCTCTCCAAGTGATTCTAATAGCCAGCTTTGGGAAATCACTGTTTTAAATAATGTGACAGTGGTTTGAGAGTAGGCAACTAAATAAAAGTTTACCAGACATCTCTGTGGTAGTTTTTTGTTTTTTGTTTTTTTCAAGCTGGGACCAGATTTTGCAGAACTTACTCAAGATACATGGAGGAATAATAAAGAAGATTCAGGCTACTGCTCATTATCATTCTTGTCTCATACTTTTTAAGGGTTTGCATTTCTAGCACTTGGAATAGTTGATCATATATATACAGCTGAAGGACATCCCTGAATGAGACCATTATATATATTAACTGTAAAATATTTCACTATTTTTTTATTTTATAAATCTTTGTAGAAATAAGCAATGAAATACTACTTTCATCTTTTGAAATGGGATTTTTCAAGGCAGTGTCCTTTTGGCATTAAGGTAGGGGGGAGTTAATATTCTCTCTGCCTTTTTCCATGTGAATCAATATAAAAGTCATGGATATTTAAAAATCTCAGTTTAATTTCTACATATTTACTATGCAGTATAGCCGTGAACAAGTAATGTAGACTTAGTTTTCTCATCTTCAAATGCCCTGATCACCCTACCTCACAGGGTTGTTGTGGGGATAAATAAAACTTTTATGGAAGCACTTTTCTTTGACGATATTTTATCAGCCATTAGAATCAATATCTAACAGCTTATATTTGTATAGTGCTTTTTTTGTTACAGGATTTTTTCACATCACTTTCCTCTTTGATATGTATCTTCAGGACATACGGGTAAGGTACACAGAGTAGGTTACAGACAGGAGGAATCACAATTTCTGGAACTACTGTTTGAGGAAGTAGAATAAAATCTGAATAAAGGGGTGGATTTTGAAAAGGAGATATGACCAAGAACCAGATTATGGTGAGTCTAAAATGGGGGAATTTATACTTGATACAATGGGCAAAATAACGAACCAGCATAACTACAAAATAGCACTCTGGTTCCATCCCAATCTCTGTGGTGAGACTTCTTTTTTCCATCTTTATTGAGTAAAATTGATATTGTGTAAGTTTAAGGTATACATGTGATGACTTGATACATATATTGTGAAATGTTTACCACAATAAGGTTAGTTGACATCCTTCACCTAATTACCATTTTTGTTAGGGTGAGTTGAGAACATTTAAAGTCTACTCTGATAGCAACTTTCAAGTATACATTTACCACACTGTTAACTACAGTCACTGTGCTGTAACCTAGGTCCCCAAAACATCAGATCCTCACACAACTGGATGTCTATCCTTTGGACAGCATCTCTTCGTTTTCCTCAGCCCCTGGCTGTGATGGGGTATTTGATGACTATTTTCCGTAAGCTCCCATGGAGTTTAGTGTACATACACATTTGAGAGGCCCTGCAGTACCCCTACTGTAGCCTTTAGAAATAATGACTTCAGGTGAATAGTTGACTTGGGAGTTTGGTTAATAAAAGGGTCGTTCAGAGTCAAAGAATCTGAATCCAAATCCATAAGTATTCATTAACTACTAGACAAAGTTTTCTGAGCCTTGATTTGTTCTCTGTGCAAAGGGTGCACCAAGATCTTCCTTTCAGAATTACAAAGATGGAACATGTCGAGACAAACTGTAAGGCAATATACAAATAACTACCACAATGGAAATGTTAAAGCAGCTAGTTCTCTTGAGGATATGTAGGCGATACATATGCACAGTGTCTGGGGAGAGGTCTGAAGCTAGAAGGGACAGGAAAGGGCAGTGGAAAATCATGGAATTGTAATACCACATGTCCTTTTTTGTTTTAAAGGAAAACGGGCAGTAGGGTACATTAAAATGAAGACAGGAAGTAATAATGGAGAGGTCACCTATGAAAATATATTTGATGAAAATATGCTGAGTGTTAAGGAAAAAGTGGGTGATGAGAAAACAGTACTGAATGGCTTGAGAGATCTGGTAAGTAGTTGGGGTAGCAGGTTGACATAAATGATTTCATCTTAGTGGATGAACCAAATGAACTAGATAAGAGTTTTAGTAGCTACCACATAATGAGCTTTAATGTTATATTCTGTATATGGCAATATTTGTTGAAAGTATAAGCAGCCTTCCTAATGACAGTAAAACACTGCCTTACTGTGTGTTAACCACTATTCCAGGCTCTACGAATGGCAAAAAAAAGCAAACCTGACACTGCCCTCAAGCTTACAGTCTAGTAGGGAAGACTGACAATAATGTTGGGAAAAGGGTCACAAAGGAGAAGAACGGCTTTGAGAATGCCAGTGTGGAGCCAGGCTTGGGTTGGCTGAAAAAGCATTAAGTTGAGATCTGTAGAACATTTACTGAAAATGTAAAGCCAGGCTTGGTTGTGGGAGGAGGGGACGTAAAATCAAGCAATGGAGTATATGATCAGATTTGTCTTGAAAAGATCACTTTGGCTGACATAGAGAATAGAGTGGGTGGGTGGGAAACTAGTTAAGAGTTATGTAGAAGTTGACCTAATTCACACAACGTATTCTCTTCCTCTAAGACAATAAATGGTTAAT